AGCATCACATAATTGCTCTGTTTTACTCTTCTTTAGATAAAAATTTGTCTTTTACGCGTAACTGTTTCCTTTTTTCCTTGTTGCTGTCCAAGGTTATGTTGATTGGTTGAAGGCAGAAAGTCACTAAAAGTAGTCTAAGGAGAATAATATTTCTTCAACAATACCCCATCCCTTTAAAATAAAATTTTTGTTGTTGTTGCTTCTAGTGATGACTGAGGCCTCTGAAATACAATTTGCCTCTGCGTCTGAACTAGACGGCGGTAAAGCCAATAGCAGCGATGATGGGGGCGAAGTACAAACAACGCGGGCCCCGGCCGTTGTTCAGCCTCGTCCCATCGATCAACCGGCGGAGGAACTCATCTCGACCAGCGACGGTGAGCCTGCTTGGCTAGGAATGGAGACTCCTTCGGGTGATGTTCAACGTATAATTGCTTCTTTACCGAACCTCGATGAAAATCCGCATCGAGGTAAACCAATTGTTTGGGGTTCTCTTGAGCAGAGAATAGAGGATTCGACGCAACGCCGATTAAGTCATTCGTCTCCTGGAGGTCGACGTTCCCCTATGTTTTTCGCGTATCCTGGGGAATCTTGCGCTCTTTATACCGAATTACTGCAAAATGGTGGTGCTGGTACGCACCCACGCTCTACATGTAGAGAGCAGACACCATTGATTACAAACACAAGGACAGAGGAACCGGAGATTGCGCCTTTACAGGGCGCAATTACGAGAGCTGGAAAGGCGTGTAGAGAAGGTCTAAGGGCGTGTCATTCGCCAATCTCTCTCCACTTGATGACAGAAGAGATGATGACTTTGACGGATGGGGGCACATTTCCATCTTGTAGGGCAGTAACTACGCATCAGGAGTCCAGAAGCTTGGTTCTGGCATCAGACGCAGAAGCTTCCTCCATTTTGGTTTCCACTGTTCAGGATGAAACCACGGAACCAAGAACGGGTCCGGCTTCGCATCAAACACCAGCTCTTCGTCGAGAGAGCCCCTTGAACCCACAGGAATTGGGGGCATCAACAGCGCCGCGTACATCTGACTTCCGTTCTGAAAGTTCTTCTAATGTACAGAATAGTACTAGCATTGCTATTGATGTAGCAGATGGGTCAAGTAACCCGGCTTCAAACGCTACTCAATCTACCTCACTTAACGCTAACCACCCAGTGGCTGACGGAAGCCTAAATGTGCCCAATGTGGGTGACGAGTTTTGTCTGCACTCTGATGCCTTGCACTCCTTTGGGGGCACACGTAGAGCTGTGGAGGCATTAAGGCAAGTAAGGTCCACTCGAATGTTCGAATCACCTCCCATTTCTCATGGGGCAACAAGCAGCGTCAGTGGTAGTGCAGGGGAGTACCCATTCAGGCCATTGTTTAGGGATAATCTGGACGACAATTTCATTGGAGAAACGGATCTCCTCCAGTCCTCCCGTCTGGCCTACATTCCACCCTTTAGAAGGCCTTTTGATGTCACGCCTCTTCTTGAAAGGGCGGAGCGTGATCTAGCAAGTGCGACAACGCCCCTCGTACCTGTATTGCCTCCTTCACTCCCTGGGAGTGAAGAGGTGGCAGTGAGAAGCTCACTTGACTCTCTCACATTGGGGTCAATATCCTGGTTAAATTCAGTGGCTGATTCAGGCACTAGGCGACAAAATTTGCGACAAGGGGAACAAGGAGTTGAAGGGGTCGCGAGCGCTTCTTTGGATGTCGCAGAGGAAGGGAAGGATTCAACTGGGGGGACACTAGGGGAAAGCAATTGGAATCAACAGACTACGTACATTGCCGATGCTCCAGCACGCGCAAACATGAGTAAGAACTAAGCTAGCCAAGGGTATTATGCGTATGTGTAGTTGATCCTTTAGTTTTGTGTGTTTTTTTGTCATCTGTGTGTGTGTGTTTCTGACGCTTTCTCAAGGCGCACCTCTTGAAGAGCTTATATTTTTACCTTCCACTGAAATGGTTGCAACTGGCTACCTCTAAAGCGTTACTCCATATCTCTGCAAAGCCGGGAAGTTTGCTTTCTGAGCGCGGTTTCTTTTGCTTGCTTTCTTCCTTTTAAAGCCGTTTTTTTTCGTTTTTTTTTAAATCTTTTTCGCCTTGTTGTGCTTTCGTTCAACCTCCGCATAGTATGTGAATGCTTTTTGGTGTATACCTCTTTTTTCTTTCTTTTACAGCTTTTACTTCCCTGTTCTTTTTTTTTTCGTTTTGGCGATACTGTTAATGGCTCTCCTTCGTTTTACTTTCCGTGCGCACCCCCATCCGTGTCCCTTTTTACGTGTGCGCAGCCATGCTATGCTGCTGCATCATGTGAGGCGCAGGAGGAAGTGGATGGGATGGGGGGGGGGAGGGGAAGTAAATGAGTGAACTGAAAGTGTCAATTTCGGTCGTACCCTCGCGGCACTCACGAGCAGTTTTACATGTGGCCTCAACGATTTAAAATGGATGCACTGCCTGGGTGGTTTTATGTTTTGTGTTCGTTTGCTCTACCCTTTGCTGCGGCGCGTGCTGAGACCTCAGAAGCAGAAAAAAAACAAGCCTGGTCGCGACCGATGAAATACCATTGGAAGCAGAGCAAGTGACTCCCAGCTTCTCCATCTGTCGTTTCTTGTTTTTTTTTTTTTTTCGTTTTTACTCTTTTTTTTTTGTTGTTCTCTTTTTAGTTGTACTGAAGCCGGTGGCTTCGGCACCACCAGCTGTGTTACCCTAGTTGGAGCAAGCGTGGGAGCCAGCACGCCCGATAATAGTGCATGCCGCATGACGTCAGCCGTTAGGCTGTACAGCGCCAGGTTGCCTTCTTCCGCAACTCTCTCCCAGTTCCCTCCTATACGCCTTATTTTTCTTCACGGAATACTCGCCCATGGTGGCACCTTCTTCTCGCTAGCGCAGCGGCTGCGAAAAAGCTGCACCGATGCGTTGCCGAATCGATGCCTGGAAATGGTTATGCTTGATCTGCGCAATCACGGTCGGTCTCCACACGCGGCGACGCACACTTTGAGTGATGTGGTGCTTGACCTTCAACACTGGCTAGAGCACGAAGGCCACTGCTGTGTGGAGGGGCCGCAGTCAAACCATACGGCATCACCAATTCTCGTGGCGGTGGGGCACAGTATGGGATCTTTGGCATGGACCAAATTCTTGATGGACCAGCAGACGGACGCCGGCCGTCGAAAACGCGTTCGCATCGATGGCTTCGTGAGTTTGGATATGCCTCCGCTCACCGGACGGCAGTTTCCGTCCTCGCTGCAGGGCGAGTTGTGCGACTACGTTGCGCTGATGAAGAGGGTGGATTTGTCGGCCATCACAGATGTGCGCTCTGCCTTCAAGGAGTTTGATCGATGCGGGATCCACAATAAACGTGTGCAAGGATTTTTGAGCACAAACCTTCAAATCGTTCGACCGGGTGCTGCAACGAATACTAAAGTGGCTCCCTCCGTGTCGTGGAGGTGCAACATACCAGTCTTGGAAGAAACTCTGCTTCAGCGCAGAATTTTCTTCCCGGAGGCCTCCCTCAACTCTCGCCCGCACGGCAAAATCAGCGTTCCCGTCCTCTCTCTGTTGGGTGGAAAGTCTCCCGTGGGAGGAAGCAGTCGGTATCGCGGGATGTGGTCCAGCTTTGCCGACACCGTCGAGGAGCACGTCTTGCACGACGCCGGGCACAATGTCTACCACGATGACCTGCAGGGGACAGCCCAGCTCACAGAGGCCTTTCTGACGAGGCTGCAGCGGCGCCACACGCCGTAGTGTCTAAGCTGCCGCCGCAGTTTGCTTCGACAAAGACTACCCAACTTGTGCATTTTGAGGAAGGAATGGCTCTTTGTCGTTTTCTTTTTTTCATTCTTTTCGTTTTGGCACTATTTTTTTTTTCCTGTTGTTTTTGTTCTACTTGGAGGTTTGAACTCGCAATGAAGAAGATGAATACTTATCTCTACTGCTCGTCTGCCTCGTTTTGTTGCGCCGTCCGCTAGAGAAAGGGGGTTCGGGAGTGGAGCAAGAGGCGGCGAAGGGAGAAGCTGCTCGAGGCACCCCCTTCCCCTTCAGTTGCAGCAAACGTAGAGCCACGAGAGGCGATGGACTGCGCCACCACAGCTGTGGAGGCGAAGCAGCGCTTAACCAATTTTATGGCGTCTGCCGCGAGCTCTACGCGGCAGATTGTTTGCGAGCACGCCCGCCTGAGCGTGGACGGGCTGCGCGTGGTGCCAGGCCCCACTAGGATTGGTACATGCGGGGCGGCGTCGAACAGTGATGCCACGTTATTGCATGCTGAGAGGTCTCGCATCTTGTGGCCCATGCGTGCGGATGCGAAACTCGCAGCACTGCCCGTGGGCGGCGGAGAGGGCGTGGACCCAACAGGCCCTGCTGTTGGTCAGGACGTGTTGTGCTTTCTTTTCGACACGCTTACGTCTGCGCACTTGACTGTAATGACAGGCAGACGTCGGCATGTGTCCGTGTCAATTGGCGTGGAGTTTGCGGAGCCGCTCTGTGTGGAGCAGCCATTCACCCTGACAAGTTGCCTTTTGCGGGTGGGTCGGCGGATCTGTTGCCTGACTGCCGAAGTCCACCAGCGGAAAGGTGGGCGGCGGCTGCTGTGTGCGAGGGCCGACCACCTCAAGGCCTTCTACACAGAGAGCCCACAGCATAATTCCCACCCGCCCGCGAGCAAGCTGTGATGACTTGGCCATTGCCATCGCCGTTCCGTTCCTTGTCGAGGTGTTTTTTTTTCCCCAAGTTCCTGTGCGTCTGTTTTACCTGCTCCGCTTCGCTTGTATCACACTCTTCTCTTGCCGCCACGCTCGCTTTTCTTTTTCTTCTTGCTTTTCTGCTCTTCTCCGTAGCAGGCCGCTGCCGTGCTAGCCATACACCGCCTCTTACTTGACCCAGCTCTTCTCCGAGGCATGTCGCGCGTGCTTCGTCCGGACGCCAAGCCGTGGGCGCCGAGGGGCGGCTTCCGTGCGGGGACGCCGCAGGACGCGCCGTTTCTTGTCACGCCGCCGCCGCTGCCATGCGTTGCGGCGTCAACTGACCCGAATAGCGCCCCGCCGCAAAGTTCCACGGCCGCAAAGCTGTTTGTGGGTCAGCTGCCCTTTGAGAGCGACGAAAAGCGTCTGCACGACCTCTTCAGTGCGTATGGCACGGTTGAGCACATTCACATCCTACGCGACGTCAACAACCGGAGCAAGGGGGCGGCGTTCGTCACGTATTCCAACGTGGAGGAGGCGGACACGGCGATCTTCACGCTGCACAACCGGTACAAGATGCTGGCAAACCGCATGCTTCAGGTGAGCTACGCCAAGGACAGCCCCCAACATTTCCCCTCTTTGGTACCTACACTGCGCTGGCGGTGCACCAGATGAATCCTACAAATCCCCTGCCAAACGTCGCGAACAGAGCACCGGAGCCGCTACAGTTTCAGTGGTGAAATCCACGCATACGTTTAACTGGAGTGTTTTGGTGGGCTTTGATGCGGTGCATACTTAGGAAAAACGCCTGGAAATTGACTTGTAAATTATTTTTTCTTTCTTCTTCTTCCCTTCCCCCCCCCCGTTTCCAATGCATATATATATATATATATGCTTCAAGAACATTTCTTGTCTTTTTCTTTTTTGAAAACGCTGTATCCCCACCTTTTTTTTTGCTGCGTTACTTAAAAGGACGCGTGCGAAGAAGGAGGGAGGATGCAAAAAGCCGAGTGAACAAGGTGGACGTGAGTTGCGAGACAGATAGAGAGAGATTGCAGGTATGTGTGTGTGTGTGTGTGTGTGTTCGTGGGGTGTGCGAGGGCAAAAGACCACGTCGGCGCTGTTGTTGTTGAATAACTGACAGTTAAATAAATTGCATTGGAGGAAAAAGAAAAAAAAGGGGGAAAAAAGAGTCGCTACCACGTTTTTTTTGTTTGTTTGTTTGTTTTCAGCCCCTCTCGCTCACGTCGTCGTCGGCGTGCGCGAGGGGCGGCTGGCAGCGGTGGCGTTTTGGGCGATGAGGGTCCTTCCTCCTCGCGCGCCGTGCCCACCTCCTCGCTGTTGCATTTTACTTATTTATTTTATTATTATTTTCTCTGTCTGTGGGGAGGGAGGGGGGAGGGACGGCAACACGGCAGTTTGGTGCGTCTGCTAATTGCTTCCGTGTTGCCTCGAAGCATCCGCTCCCACAGGGCAGAGTCGGCTCTCTCTCTCCCGCACTTCCTCTGAGGTTGCAGGGAGGAGGAAGCACGCAGGGGGGGGGGCACGATTATCATCTTTTTCTGCATAGATACGTAGCGCGAAGGACACACCGGAAGAGGGAAGGCGTGCGTGCGTGTGTGTGTGTCTGTGCGTCAGGCAAAGCGGAGTGGCGCGGTGGGTGCCCGAGCACGACGCGGTGCGGCAGTGACAGCAAAGACAGGCGAGGGGAGGGAATAATAATAATAAAATAAATAAAAGAGGGGTGGGTGTGAGGCGATGCGTTGGGGGGGTCGCAGGGCGGCACTCGCTCTGGTGGGCGGCGGGGCGTTGACTGGGGCTGCGTTGTGGTACGCCGCCCGCGGCGCCGCGGCGGGAGCCGCTCCCCCACCGCAACTCTCCGCCGACGAGTTCAACGCACTGCAGAGTGAGGCGCTTCTCGCAGAGGCCTTTGACGGCAACCATCTGCCGTGGCGGCGAAGCGGCGGCGGCGGCAGCAGAGACTTCGGCCTGACTTTGTACCGCCTCCTGGGATGCCCGTACTGCGCGAAGGTGGAATGGGTCCTTCGCTACCACGCCGTGCCGTTGACCCTGGTCGACGTCGACACCCTCTCCGGCGCGGGGCTCCCGGACCCCCGCTACAGCCTGGTGCCGCAAATACGGCTGGCGCCGCTGGCTGACGCCGCAGGTGCCACCCCGGCCGACGCCGCAGGGGTTTACGTTGTGGATTCCCAATGCATTATCTCCGCAATTTCCGTGCCGCTGGGGTTTGCTGGCCAACTGAAGGATCCACGCATCGCAGAGACGCGTCGATGGATTATGGAGCGCTTTCAGGCGGTGAGCTTTGTCGCGTGCAACAACACCTGGAGGAACGCCTTTGCTAGCTACCCCTACGTGACACCGTCGCGCTACCACAACGTTGCTTTTCGCGTCGTGGGGGCGACCGGGCTGTGCATCCTCTCGCGGTACAAAATCTTGCCCAGACTTGTGGCGAAGGGGGTCGATACGCGCGGGGGATTGCCCGCCAAGGATCCGGCGGCATGGCTCCAGGAGGAGCTGGCGGCATTCACCGCACGGCTGCAGGATCGTCCCTCTCGTCGCTTTCACGGCGGCAGGGAACCCGACGTCGCCGACGTGGAAATGTATGCCGTGACACGCGTCGTGGAGGCCCACCCAAGGCTGAGGCACGTCCTCCACCAGGGGGCCCTCGGGGAATGGAACTCCGCGATGGAGGAGGAGATGCGGAAGCGGACACAACCGCAGGCCTGATGCGCCTCCGGCGCGTGTTTGCATTTTCTATTGTTAGCTGCGGCCAGCTGTTCCCTGGGCGTCGTGGGCGAAGGCTGTGCTAAAGGCAGCGACGCACCGTTCCTGTACGGCGTGGCTCGCTTGCACCCTTCACGGGCTCACGCTCACTTTCTCTCTCTCTCTCTTATTATTACTGCTGTTTGCTCCATTCTTATCGTTTCCCAATGTGTGTGTGTGTGTACGTGTGTGTGCGTGGATTCTATGTACGCACGCTCGTCCGTGTGGAGGCCTTCATTCGATACTTGCTCGCTTGCGCTGAGGGGGACGAGGGCACAAGAGCCGGAAAGCCGCGTGCAGAAGCATCGCGGCGTGGGTTTCTCCCCGCTTCGCTGTAGGCGTGGGCGAGGGACGCCGCCGGGCGGTGGGACGGCGGCAAAAATAGCCGCAATAAAAGCAGCTGCCCCTAGACAAGAAGAGCAAAAAAGAACCAGGGGCGGGTGAAGGAGTGCAGTGAACTTGTGCGTTGCTTTTGCTTTGCCTGGTGTGCTCTTTTTTCCTGCCTGGGTCGAACGTGTGGCTGGTAGCTCACGCAAAGAGAAAGAAAAAAACGCTAAAATAACAGAGAGGAAGAAGAAGAAAAAGATAAGGGTGCCACCCACGTTTTATATTCCAGTATTGCCGCGCCAGCGCAAATGATGCGGCGCCTCGGACATGTAAACCTGACGGCGGCGGCGGCGGCGTTGGTGGCGTCGGCCGGCGGTCGCCTTCATCGACAGCCAGTTGGCCTCCGTTGGCAGTCGTCGTCGGCGGCGGCCCCAGCGGCTCCTGCGAAGGGGGCGCCGCAGCGGAAACCACCGGCCGCCGCCCACGACTTCAAGGGCTCTATTTTGAGGAACCGCATTTGGGAGACGCACCCGGCGGGTGAGCATGTCACCGTCTACGTGGACTCTGGCGTGTACGCCTGGATTGTCATGGACCGGGCCGGCTCCAGCGCCAACGCCCTGGGCGATGCCTTCGTGAATTGCATGCAAAAGGCCATGGACATTGTCGAAAAGCTCATGCTCGAAAAAAAGGCTCGTGTGGCCATCGTCGCAAGTGCCAAGTCAAGCTTTTGCGTGGGGGCGGATCTGGAGGTGCTTTACCCAATTACGGATAAGCAGCTGGCGGCCGAGGCAACCCGCGTGGGCCATGCGCTTTTTGACCGCATTGAGAAGGAGCCATTTCCGGTTGTGGCGGCGATTAATGGCTTTGCCTTGGGAGGCGGCTTCGAGCTGTCGCTGGCCTGCCATCATCGTCTCTTGGCGTCGGACGGCTCGGTGGGGCTGCCGGAGTGCTTGTTGGGCGTCCTTCCTGGCGCGGGCGGCACGGTGCGTCTGCAGCGTCTCGTTGGCCTGGCGACGGCGGTGGAGTGGATCATGACAAGTGCACCTGCGAGGGCGCCAAAGGCAAAGCGGGCGGGTGCCGTGAATGCGGTTCTCCCGGCGGAAGACCGCTGGAGCGGTGAGGACCGCTTCTTCAATCAGGTACGGCAATGGGCCGGTGCTTTGGTGGATAAGCCGCTGAAGCCGGCGCGGGGCAAAAAGCTCACCCTCGTGGAGCGTCTCCTGCAGAGCACAACGGCTGGGCGCAGGATCATTGCTAAAAAGACGATTGAATCACTGAATGCGAAGACAAAGGGGAAGTACGTTGCACAGTACAAGGCATTGGAGGTTTTGTTGTATTCCGCCACGCACTCCAACGTGGAGGGGTTTGCGCGGGAGAGCGAAGTCTTCAGTGAGCTCCTGGTCACTCCAGATGCTAAAAATCTGATGGCCCTATATTTTATTGAGGATGGAATGAAAAAGAGTGAACTTAAAACGGGGATTCCAAAGGACAAGCTGCCTCCCGTGCGAACGGTGGGCGTCATCGGTGCAGGCGTCATGGGGTCTGGCATTGTGCACCACTTTGCCAACAAGGCTATTCCTGTTGCTGTGAACGACCTCAAGCCGGAGGCGGTGGAGAAGGGCATTGCGATGGTGCGTGGGGAGTTTGAGAAGGCGGCTAAGCGAAAGAAGCTGACTCCTGCCGCCGTGGAGGCGAAAATGCAACTTGTCAAGGGTGGGACCTCGAGCGGCGTCTTGCAGGGCGCGGACGTGATTGTGGAGGCCGCGGTGGAGGTGATGGACATTAAAAAGAAGATCATTCGGGAGTTGGAGAAGGAAGGGTGCCTCAATGGCAAGAATTTGTTTGCCACAAATACCTCGTCGCTCAGCTTGACGGAGATGCAGAAGGACGCCAAGTATCCGGCGAACATTGTGGGGATGCACTTCTTCAACCCCGTCTCCAAAATGCCCCTGGTGGAGGTTATTAAGGGCAAACACACCTCTAAGGAGGCGGCTGCCGTTATCTTTGACTTGGCCCTGCGGACGGGAAAGAAACCCATTATTGTGAATGACGCCCCAGGGTTTGTCGTGAATCGCATTCTCGGCGTGTACATGGCCGAAGCCGGCCGCCTCGCCGCGGTCGACAAGGTTGACCTCTCTCAAATCGACAAAGCCATACTTGACTTTGGGATGCCCATGGGGCCGTTTCGCCTCCTGGACGAGGTCGGCCTCGACGTCGCCTGCCACGTGGGGCCCATTCTCACCGCGGGAATCCACCCGAGTCGCTTTGGCATCGGCTCGGAGATTCAGCAAATGACGAGGGATGGCTACCTTGGCAAGAAGAACGGCAAGGGATTCTACCGCTACGACGCCAAAGGCAAGGAGACCGGCATGAATACGGAGGTGACGCGGCACTACTTCCCACAATCTTCCCGCAATAAGCCGGCGGGCGAGATTGTCGACCGCTGCGTTCTATTGATGGTGAATGAGGCCGGCTACATCCTGCAAGAAAAGGTGGCCGCAACCCCGGAGGACGTGGATATTGGCATGATCTGGGGGACGGGCTTTCCGCCGTTTCGGGGCGGACTCCTGCAGCACGCCGACCACCGCGGCCTGCCCGCAGTTGTGGATCGGCTTCGCCAGCTGCAAGACGCCCTCGGCGACGATCGGTTTGCGCCCTGCCCTCTCCTGCAGTCGATGGCGAAGGACGGCAAACGGTTTTTCCCAAATAGGCCCTTTGTGCCGTACCGGGAGCGCGCTGGGTTTCCCAAGGTGCATTTCTCGTAGGAAACAAGCGCGCCAAGAACAACACGAACAACGAGAACAGGTCCTTTTTCCGCGAAAAGGGACGGAGTAATAATCGGAGCCAAAAACAGCAACAGCGGCGATCGAAAGTCTTTCTTTTTTCCCCCTCCTCTCCCCATGCGCTCGAAAGAAAAAGGACAAAAGGAAAAGCAAAAAATAAAAGACACAAGGGAGTGCTTTCTTTTGGATGTTAGTGTTTTTCTTTGGATGTCCGTCGATGTTGATAGTGGCCTCGCGTGTTTTTATTATTTGTCCTTCTTCGGCGCAGCGGGCGGGGGGCTCGGGGTGCTG